GGAAACGAGTAAAAATGTCTTAAAATTAGCATAATTCAAGCAAGTAAATAATAAGATTTTCCAATGGAATGAGTATTTTTACTCTTAAAATAAGATAATTAGATAATATCCACTTGGAATAAGACAACGCTATTGTTTTTTCTTATTTTAGATGTAAATTGCCTTATTCCATTGGCAAAGTGTATCACTTAACTGCTTAATTCAAGAAAGAATTGCTCTTTTTTAAATAAAAATAAACTTACTTAGATTTCAATTTTATGCAGGGTAACTTATAATCAGCCCATTCTTGTTCAGCTCAGTATTCAGGTTTTAAATCTAATTTCAGCCTGGTTTATGCTGCTTCTACCAGTTTCTATGCGCACACACTCCCCAGACTCCCCCCTCTGTTTGGCACAGGAAGCCATTCCGAATATCCAGTCTGCTTTGCAGGTAGCTGTGCGGTCGCAAATCTGCATGGGACCAAATATTCATTTTAGCCCAAAATTGTATTTTTACTTACTGTTAGGTGATAGTTGAGCAGATAATATTTTGTCACACTTCCCTGAGTGTGTTACTAAATCTTTCTCCAGTTTAAGTGATGCTGATATCAGCTGAGTAACACCACCCTGACACCACAGTTTTTTTTTAAAAACCGCGTTAATAAAATAACACTGAAGGGCATCTGTTTGCAGACATGCTGTGATTAATTATTTGACTTGTTTTGCTAAACTGTTTTTATGAAACAAAATTCTTTACCACAATACCAAATAAATCAAGGGAAGGATCAAGCAGTAACCGAATGAGAAGTTTATTATAATTTAATGTTCTGGCTCTGAGTCAGTGGTAAAAAAACAAGTGCAAGAAAACCAAAGTTGTTTTCAGGCTATTTTTCCTCTATACATAATGATAGTACCCTATTTTCAACTGCATTTATGTGACTCATCATACCGGGATCAATCTCTACAAATGTCTCTGTACATTAATGCATTCTATGACATTTTAAGGTACAATTAGATATCACA